TTTCGAATAAAATAATCAAAGTCTACACTAGTTAAATGATATAACCAATTAGGGGTAATATATCTAAATTGAGGAATGAGAAATTCTCCAAGCACAGACAGTAATCTCTGCACTCTATTTGCAACAGTTAAGAATCGAGCACCATTTTGATTAGTTATTTGTTAAACTTCTTGTCTCAGTTGTTTCATGGTTAATTGTCGTTTAACAAGATCTTTTGATAATAAAGATCAGGATTTCGAGTATGTAAAGAGTCATTGTCTATTTGTTTTTGCAGTATCAATGGCAACACTTACAAGAGAAAAATATCTCCTTTATCATATAATTCAAAGTCAAGGTCAACTTCAGCATTGCATGCATCTTCAATATATCTATTAAAGTTTTGAGGTTGTGTTCGTTGATAATGAGTAGGAATTGTTAAAGAGGTTTGTTGAGAACTACTTTGTATAATAATTCGTATAGAGGTCATTTGTATATTAACAGAAATGTAATTTAATTGTAAACTTTAGTAAAGTTCTAATAATCTAGTATGTTAAGTTTCTGAAAGTTGAAGTTCCATGTTTTGTAAAAATTTTTAGAATTTGAAAAAAATGAAATCCTTTATATAATAAAATTTGTATTTAGATGTTTAATTAAACTTTGACTAATTGAGGTGATTATCACACAAGGTTCTACAAGATACTTTTGTTTATAATATTTTAATCTTTCTGTATGAACAGGATTAGGTAATGTATTTTCAATTTTATCTCTTATCATGTAAACCTTATTACCTAACTTCTTTTCTATTCAAAATGGTCATGTCCATTTAGGATTAAACTTTTGTCTATGCTATACATGTTCCCAAAATTGATTTTGGATTTTTGAGATATTTCGACTTTTTGAGATTTATGCAAAATCTATTCTATATATGGAAGTAAAAAAAGTACCTAGTTATATATATCTTTAATCAAAAAATAAATCTGGGTGATCAAAAAATTTCAGATTTTAAGTAAAATAATTTCGTCTTCTATAAAAAACTATTAAAACTTTTTTTTCCCAAAATTGCAATTTTGGGACCCCAAAATAATTTTGCATGTAAGTATAGTTTATGCACTTGTCTTTTAGCAGAATCATATAATAATACAATATCATTTTCATGATACTCATATGCTTTAGCCAAATGTTTTTACCTTTCCTTTTATAATTCTTGTGCACTGGTTACATTTCTTGAAAAGATTATGAGTGTGTCAGTGAAGGTTCCTATTAAAGAACTGATCCTTCGTTCCAGAGCCTCTTCATAAGTTAAAACAGAATGATTTTCCTTATCATTAAACTCAACATCAATAGGAAGTTGTGTTTCTCTTCCATGTACTAAATAAAAAGGTATATATTTTGTTAATTCATACTTCAAGGTATGATAAATAAAGAGTACTGAAGGTATTAATTGATCTCAATTAGATTGACCAGTTTGTAAGCATTTTGCGATGGATCTGCACAAGGTTCCATTGAATTTTTTTGTTAATCCATTCGTTTGAAAATGGTAAAACGATGCTAGTTTGTGTTGAAATCCTATTTCCTCCTTTAAAAGTTTGATTGTATCATTTATAAAATGAGCACCTCTGTCAGATAAAATTATAGATAGGGTTCTATGTCAACAAATGATTTCCTTATAAAGGAATTTAGCAGCTTTTTTAGCTGTTGCTGTTTTTACGGCATGTGCTTCAAGCCATTTGGTAAAATAATCTGTTGCCACTATGATATATCTGTTTCTATTTTCAGTTGTTTCCAAAGGTCCAACATAATCAATTCCTATTTGAAAGAAGGGTCGAATGACTGATATAGATTCGGTCAATTGTATCTTTCGAGAATTACCAAATCTCTGACAACTATCACAAGATTCGATATATGTTTTAATATCTTTTCCCATTGTAGACCAATAGTATCTTTCTAGAGCTTTCTCAATTATTTTCTTGAATTCAAAATGTCCTCCTAAGGGGGATGAATGTAGATCATATAAAATTCGTTCTCTGTTCAGCAGAGTTATTACTCATGATGGTTTGTCAAAATTGTTTTTGTTTTTCTTTAATAATTGCTCTTGTTCTATCAAATATTGCGTCGCTTGTCTTGCTAATCTTTGTTTGTCACTTGTTATAAAATTTTCTGGATATTTATGAAATAATAAATAATTAATGAGGTTATTGTACACTTTCAAGTTTATCTTGAGTGATTTTATTTTGTGTTTATTTATAAGATCAAATTAATATAAGAAATTCAGAAGACTGTGTACAGGAGTGGTTTCTAGCCTTGAAAGTGCATCGGCATTGGTATGGTCACTACCTTTTCTCTTTAGAATAGTATACAGTTCATATTCTAATAAATGAATTATCCAGCGAGCTAACCTTCCTTCAGGTTGTTTATGTTTTTTGAGCCAAGGTATTACTTTGTGATCAGTGACAATACAAAATTGAGATCCTTGTAAAAAGTGATGAAAATATTTAGTTACTTAAATCACGACAAGATATTCCTTTTCGGTTACGGTGTAATTTCGTTTGGCAGTATTTAAGATTCGACTAGCATAAGCAATTACATATTCTTTTTCTTGATCGTCATTCTGAATGAGTATTGCTCTTATAGTATAATTAGAAGCATCGGTGTGAAGAATAAAAGAATCAGTAAAATTAGGGTGTTTAATAATTGGTGGGCTTATTAGAGATGGTCGGCTCAATTAATATCAAGCTAACTCAATTAATTGCACTCTGGCTAAATGATTTTGTTCTGGCTAAATTCTGGCTCAATTAATTGCGCCAGCTAAATTTAAGTTCAATTTAATTGTGCCAATTAAATTTTAAATCAACATAACTATTAAAATTTCACTATAATTTTTAAAATTCTCATTCTCTCACTCTTTCTCTCTCTCTCTTACTCTCACTCTCTCACTCTCTCACTCTCTTATTCTCTCACTTTCTCACTCTCTCACTCTCTCACTCTTACTCTCTTACTCTCACTTTCTTTCTCTCACTCTCACTCTCTCAATTCCTTCTCAAAATAAAACATATTTTCTTATTACAAAAATATAATAATAAAAATCATTCTTTATAATAAAAATCAATTTAAAATTTCATATAAATAAAAACAATTATTCAATAAATTTTACAATTATATTATTAATCAAAATTACATTAACATTTAACCTTTATATTGACAAATCAAAATTACACTAAAATTTAATCTTTATATCAACCAATCAAAATTACATCAACATTTAATCTTTATACCAATCAATTAAAATTGCGCTAACATTTAACCTTTGCACCAGCCAATCAGAATTACACCAGCATTTAGCCTTTGCGCTAGAATTTAGCCATTACGCCCAATTGCGTCAAGACTAATTCCTAGGCTCAATTGGCTAAATTAAATCTGGCTAAATTCCTGGCTCAATTCGTATTCCCTATAAGAAGTATACATACTTAAAATATACTTAAAATATATTTAAAATATATCTGATATACTTAAAATGCACTTAAAATCTTTTTACTATTTGAAAATTTAAGAAAATTACATTTTCGAATTATATATTGATATTCTTAAAATATTCTTAAAATATACTTAAAATTTTATTTTATATTTAAAATTATATACTTAAAACATATTTAAATATACTTAAAATATCATCAGGAAATTTTAATAAGCAAAAATTTCCAGAATTTTAATATGGTATTAAATTTTCGGAATTTTTTACAAAATAT